AGATGGCTCCTGGTGGCCTGGCCAGGGACAGGAGTGACCCCAGCTCAGCCCCAGCATCTCCCTCCTGCACAGAGAGCGCTGCTCAGCCCTCACCATCCTCAGCGCCTGGGCTCTGACAATTCACACCAGACCCAGCTCGTCTGCGGGGCTCAGACATTTCCAGTGCGTTCTGGGGTAAATTAACCAGGCAAGAGCAGAGCGGGACCTCCCTGGCCGAGAGAGAGGCAGCACTTCTGCTCCCAGGTGTTCGGACAGGTGTTACCCACACACAGCCTGCTTGTAAAAGCGAGCAGATTATTACACTTCATTCCTGTATTTCCACTGCCACCTTCTGTACAGAAGAGGAAGCCTCTGAGTTCAGCAGCTCCGAGGAATGAAACTGGAAAATTCTTCCCCCACCACCCACGTGGAAAAACTCAGTCACTATTGAAATTAAACACTGAAGGATTTACATTTTCAGTAGCTCAACAGCACACTGAGTTGTGCTAGAGACACCCACAGGTGCCAAAACCTTCTAATTTTACAAAGAAAGTACATCACCCTCACTTTGTGTTTGTCATAAATTCGTGCAGTTTCTGGGATGGGATGTAATGGGTGAGAGAAATAAACACACGCTATTATTTTAAAAAGTGAAGTGCAAGCCCTGCTATAAATATCAAAACCTCATGCCAAATAAATTCATAGGGCCATGATTAAAGCATGTGATCAGCCATAGTTGTTTTTCCTCTCTGTGTCATCCTGAGCCTTTCCCAGAGGTTTTCAGGCTGAGGCTGCAGTGTCCTGGCTGTGCCATGGAACACACAGCTCATCCTTGGGGACTACACTGCATCCAACCACACAGAAAGGACTGCAGGAAACCTTTGCTCTGAAGAGCTTTTTTTATACTGTCTCAAGAGCTCGCAGGCATAAAAAAAAAATTTAAAAACCAAAAAAAAAAACCCACCCCAAGTTGAATTTTCGTGCCCTTAATTTTAATTTCAAATATTAAGAACAAACCTGATTTTATCAGTTGATGCCTTGCTCCGTTGAGCCACACAGAGTCATTGTCAAAGCCGGACCCAGAGCAGGAGCTCTGCAGAGCTGCATCCCTGGAAGTGCTCAGACTGGAGAAGGCTTTGGGCACCTGAGCCAGGTGCTGTCCCTGCCCTTATCAGGGTGAGTGGGTGATCTTTAAACCTCCCTCCTAACTCAAAGCATTCTGTGATTTCATTCGTCCCTCTGCTTTCCTACAGATAATTACTTGATTACCTGATTAATTACATTCAGGAGGCTTTCCCCTAAGCACTATTCAGCATGATTATCTGGTGCCTCCAGACTTTCAAGGACTCATCTTCCCTGATAGCTGCCCCACGCTGCCCTGCCAGATCTGATCAGCTCTGAGGATGATTTGGAGCAGCCTCAGAACATCCAACCACTTTTAATCGGGGTCAGTGTCTTCACGTCTCTCATTTGCTCTGCTCTGTGACCAGGACCCGCGGGACACAGAGGAGGCGCTGGGGCAGGGAAATCATCTTGCCGTGGTTCCAGAGCTCCGGCAGGGCCACACTGGGCAGCACCTCTGTGCTCTCAAGGCTGTGCAAAGCTGGAACCCAGTGAATTAAAGACTCCAAACAAGCTCCTCTGAATCCTGGATTTAGGTTCTTGTTTCCACAACGCTCAGTTTGTTTAAACTATACAAGTGAGTGAAGCAATTCTGGCTGAGCAGCCTGTTTCGAGTTTGCTTTCCAGCTGTCTGCAGTATTTGAGTCTCCCTCCCACCAAACTTTAGAGTCCAGATTCTGTGGGAAACTTTCCAAATTCTGGCTGGAATACTCAACCATTAATTCCCAACTTGCCCATCTGCCAGGTCTAGAAAAGATTTCTTTAAATCCTTTAAAACCTATGTCTAAACTGCTTGTTTATCTGTCAGCATTGTCTCACACTATTTAATTTTGAAGCTTAGCTTTTTAAACCTCTCAAGGTTGACCCTGCTCTGACCATGGAGCTGTCAGTAACTTTGCACCGTGTTAAAACTGCCTGTGGTACCAGAGAGGCTGCGTGCCCACTGGCCACACTGCGAGCTGCTCAGATCCTCCCACAACAGCCTTTCCCCTAACCCCGCTAAAATATTTAAACAAAAACAAAACAAAAAAAAGGAGTTGAAAGGAGGCTGAGGAGCTGGAGAGTGAAAATGCAATTTCCGTGTGAGCTTGCCCGGGCTGTCCCGAGGCAGGCAGGAGCCTCCTGCCCTGGGGATGCTCACACACAGAATTGTCGCCTGTTCATGTGCTCGGCCACTCGGGCTGGCTGCTGGCACGGACCGGCTCACACGGAGCTTTACGGGACACTAATTTCAGTTCAGACACTGCACTTCTCTTGGTTAAATCACTGAGAGTTTGCTGACTCCTCCTCCGCTGCTCCAGCCGCAGAGATTTCCCCATTTCCGCATCCCTGTGCTCCGATATTCCTCTGCCCCCCCTGCCCGAGTGTTTGACTCCTCGGGAGCTCCGCCAGGCTCCCACTGCCACGGCTCGGCCCCGTCCCGTGCCCTCACCCGCCTTTCAAAGCAAAGCTCCCAAAAGGCTCCTCTAAAGCGGGCACCAAATGGCCACACACACAGAGTACGTATATGGACACAAAATATGTGATTTATTGTGAATTTTGCAAAGACACATTTAAGCAACAAAATATACATTTGTGAACCTTTAGTTTTATACATAACAATCTGCTACCATAGCAATAAATTAAATATACATTATTTACAACAGACATAGGTCACCAGAAACTACAAAGCACTGCCTCTCTACATCAAAAATAAACTCTGTCAGATACATTTCTTCAAGATTTATTTTTCACTCTATAAACTCTCTTCACATTCTGTGATATAAATCCAGCATTTCCCTTTTGCAGTGCTACATTCACTGAAGGCGATGAAAGCATGCTGGGGGCAGAGGGGGAGAGGAGCAGCGAGAGCGGAGCCGGGACCGACCCAAGAACCGGGACAGACCCAGGGGAACCGGGACCGACCCAGGGGAACCGGGACCGACCCAAGAACCGGGACAGACCCAGGGGAACCGGGACAGACCCAGGACCCGGGACCTGCCCCGGCTTTGGGGGACCCGGAACCGAGCGCCTCCCGCAGCACACAGATCCCAGCCCCGGGCACAGCCCCTCTGTGGCAAAAACATCTCTTGGTCCTTCACCTGCCTCTCTTGAAGACCCTCAAAACTCTGCAAAGAAACCGAGTTTGTGCTTAGGATCTCCTGCGGCCCTCAGGAAAAAAAAAAAAAAAAAAAGCACTTCTGTGTTGTGCTTTGGCTCCGGGGGGTTTCAAGAAGATGCAAGTCCGTGCCCAGTGCTCTCCTGAGCGGAACAGGAGCAGCAGCTCTGTGCCAGCCCCGGTGCAGGGGATGCTGCGGAGGGGATGCTGGTGCAGGGAAAAGGCTCCCAGCCCGCTCTGCACAGGGACTCGGAGCCAGCGGTGCCAGATGTGGAGCTGCAGCTGAGCCTGCCCCAGACCAGGAGCTGCTCTGGGCTGCAGCAGGAGCAGGCAGGGACCGGGACCCGGCAGGAAAGGAAGGGGAGCAGCCCCAGCGACAGAGCCCTCTCACCCAGCGGGGGCTTCCCCATCACCCCGAGGCGTTTCTGAGCCCCCTCTGCTCCCTCTGCACTTGAGCGGGGCACAAGTTGTGTGCATGGAAACAGTGGAATCAGAAAGGAAAATGCACTGCCCAAAAATTCTAGTGTCAGTTAAGGATCCTTTCCTTTATATATATATAGATATATATATTTTATACATATATATGTATATATATATCTCCCTTTTATATATGTATAGATGTATAAGTGTCACTTATAAGCACAAAACATTTTGCAAAATATATACAGGAACAGCTTCACCCACTGCTGGAATTGCAGAAGTCCCCGGGATGTAGCACGAGCATTTCTCAGCCCCAGAACCGCCCCGGGACAGTCCAGGACAGCCCCGGGACAGTCCAGGACAGCCCCGGGCAGTGGGGCCGCTCTGGGGCCGGACCGGACCGTGCAAACCCAGCTGCTGGGGGGTTACAGCAGAGTTTGGGCTGCTGGAAATGTCCCGCAGGAGCCACAAACGTCGTGCCAGACCCCGGCCCCACCTCTGCTCCAGCACAGAGAGACAAATCCAGAGCACTGAACTCTCCCTGAGGCTTCACACTGTTCTGCCTGTTAGTCCCGTCAGAGTAATTCCCAAATCAATCTAGGTCAAAAAGGAAAGCCACAGTTTCAAATTTTTTTAAAAAAGCAACAAAACAACAAAAAATGGCAAAGCAGCTGACAGTAGCCACTGCATGGTCTGCTGAAAGATCTCACGGAGATCAACACCCACAGGAATGACGACACCTACAGAACCGAGTGACTGCTCGGGGGGAAGAGCAAACCCAGAGCAGACCCTGGAGCAGTCATTGCACCAGCCAGTGTTTCACTGTGCAGCCTCAGGAAACCAGACCAAAGCTTCTAAGAGGAGAACTGGGGCTGGGTTTGAAAGTGCTGCTGAAGCATCATCAGACAAGTGCTGAACAGCAAAGTGTGTGATCCTGAGACACCTACAGCTACACTGCATGCTCCTCTTCCAAAGGGAACTCCAGGCTCAAACTGCACTGAAATGCACAGGCTGGGAGCAGGAGGGGGCATCCCCATGGGAGTTATTGATATTTACTCGTCCTACACAGCACTTAGGGCCGGTGAAACTGTTCCTTGCCTTCTCACAACTGTTCTTCTTTAACCTGGTTCCCCTCCCATCAGGGGGAGGCTGCAGCCTTCGCACAGGGATTAATTACAGCAGAGCACCGATGTGAACAGGACTGTAAGGCTCTCAGGGAGCACCTCCCTGCAGGACCAGGGTGAGCACAGCAGCTTCTGCTTGGCTCGGCTCAGCTCTGGCCCGGGGACATGACAGGGAGGAGGGCAGGTGATGGTTGGATCCTCCTGCCCCAGAGAGGGGAGCAGGAGCGGCCCCAGCCACGGCAGCTGCTGCAGGAGCACAATTCTGCACCCCCCTCCAAAAGCTGTCAGGTGCCCTGTGCCCCTGGGAGCACCCTCTGGGGGAAAGTGACTTTGGCACTCAAAGCCCTGTTTTCAGTAGGAATCACAAACTCAAAGAACTGTGTTCACTTGAGACTGAGAACCTCGTTTCATGAGGGTTTCCAAAGGTCACAGGCTGTGGGGACAGGGGGGAATATCTCTGCAGCATCGTGGCCTGTCTTCCAGAAAACGGCTACGGGAAATCCATGGGCAATGGGAAATCTACGGACAGGCTTCAGAAAACTTCACATGAAGTTCCATAAAGGAGCAAAAGGATTTCTTGGCATATTGAGAGAGGTATTTTCTGGGAAAGGGCATTATGAGAAAGTTACCTTTGCAGAATCTATAATCCTTTCAGAATAACAAGAGCTTGCTCAAAAGCAGCAGGACAGACTCTGCAAGGGCTGGAGCAGCCTAATGCCTCACAAGTCACTGCAGTTTTATGCATTTGCTTGCCTGGTGACCCAAGCCATAGGGCAAAGCAGAGCCCAGCAGGTAAATGCCCTCTGGTTCCAGTTCTAGTACTTAGAAAAGCTAAAGCTGTGATACAGCCCAGCTTTAGCTCTGGGTCAGCGTTGCCAGGCTGTGCTCAGTGTCAGACAGGGACAAAGCAGGGAGGACAAACCTGCCAAGGAGGATGAGCTGCCTGCAGTCCCCAGCTCCACTCCCTGGCCAAGCCACTCACCTGCCTCTTGTGCAAGAAACTGGGGAGGTTTGGAGTGAGGGGCTGCCTCTGCCCCAAGGGTTTTGGGGTGTAGGTAGGAGCTGGGGATGCCTGGAGAGACACTGCAGACCCCACTCCAGGGAGAGCTGCCCAGGACACCCCCAGGGAGGTTTTGCTCCACTGCCCCCAGAGAAGAGAACAGCAAACGATTGCAAATTGCCCCAGAGCCACTAACACTAACTTTGGCCTGACCCCCCACCCTTCAAAAAACAAACATAAACCCCTGTTTCCCACTGATAACTGCAAATTAAGCACGGAGGGACCTAAACTACGCAGAGGTCTCTCCTGCTGCCCCTCTGCCCAGAAGGAGCTGCCAGGCAGCCCAGGGGCAGGGGGAATGTGGGCAAGCACAGGGTGAGCCAGCACAGCACCAGGAGGGGACGTGGCCCTGGCCATGTGTGTGTGTGCAGCACGGGCAGAGACACGTCCCCTCGGGCACACAGGGCGTGTGCCGGGCAGGGGGACAGCCGGTGACGAGGTGCTGCTCCCTGCCAGGACAGCACTGTAGCAAGGTGAGAGCTCTTTTCTGGTGTAGCAGGCAGCCAGCAGGCGAGGGCACCTCGCTGCCCATGGCTGGGCTTGCGTGGTCCCATGGGGTGTTGAAGATTTTTCCCTTTGTTGAAACATTCTGTGCAAAGAAGAAAAGGATGCAAGTGTCAGGAGTGTGGAAGAAGACTACTCCCACCCCTGAGGGCTGGCTGTGAAGCATCTGTCCCAGGGAGGGGGCTGAAGCCACGGCAGTGCCCTTCCCCAAAGCACCAGGCCACCCATCACTGCCAGATTCTGGGAGAAGGAAACTCAGTGATGGGGTGAAAATCCCAGCTTTTTGAGACCTATGCTTTCAGAAATGTAAATTTCTCTCATTTCAAGTTCTATGGACTCTTCTGCTCAGCTTGGGTCTTCCTAATGACACCCTTAATTTCATGGAACAGGAGCCCAGGTAAATCCCACTGAGTTCCCTTTACCTCTGCCCATGAAATCCATCTCGTGAATCTTCCATTTCCCCCTGGATTTTTGGAATGGGTAAGGGCCTGCACCTCCCTTCCACCCCAGGGCCCAGAGCACAGCAAACGTGGAGATGGGCACCAGTGTTTGACAAAGGTTAGGTGGGAACAATGCAGCCTGACCCTGGGAGCTGGGTGCAGACCTGTCACCAGTGCCTGCCCTTTCCCTCACCTACAGCAGTTTAAGGGGCTCCAAGGCACAGGCTGGACCCCACAAAGCAATAACAAGCTGAACACAAAGAACCTCTTTGCACAAAACAAACAGATCCACACTCACCTGCGGGTCCATGACTTCCTCCTGCTAGTGGCTCTAAGTGAAAGAACAGAACACGGCGGGGTTGCAGACAAACAAGTCACAAAATCCCTTCTCTTTTCTCCCTCGGGGGCACCCCCAGAGCCCAGACCCCCCATGCCAGGCAGGGAGGACACGAGTGCCCAGCATCCCCCAGGGATCCATCCCCCCTGGCACCCACCATGCTGGAGCTGCCGTGGCTGAGCTTGTCAAAGCGAAACTTCAGGTTGGACCTCGGAGAGTTTCTGTTCTTTAGATCTGCTAGAGGGAGAGGACAAAGAAAGAACGAAAATAATAAACTGTGAACAAAAATATTTGCTGCAGTACTGGCTGCACTCGCCCAGATAGGCACTTTAATAGGCTGTCAGGAGTGGTACCAATATTTAGTCTGCCTTGGCTGAATGTTTGGCAAAAGCTGTACATTAAGTGTTTGAGATGGAACAAATTGAGGCTTAATTACATTTCACAGTCTTTCTCCTGGAAATGCCACTGAAAAGGCTACAAGGAATGACTGATCCATATAATGTATGGGTGGATTTTCATGTTCTTGGCAGGAAAAATACAAAATAAACACTTCAAGAATTAAAAGGGGCTGGTTTAAGGCTTCAAAAAATCATCAATGAAATAAGGGGGAGGACCTGTGGGTGCCGAGACACAAAAAGCCTGCCTGCACTCCGTGGCCCCATTTTGCCTGCAATACTCCCAGTCTCAGAGCTGTTTGGGTCTATTTGTGCTTCCTGGCTGTTTCAGAAACAGCTCCTCAGCTGACAGAGTGCCCCACGTGGATGCTGGTGCCTTGTGGCTCTCTGTGGCTCGAGGAATCAGAGCCACGGGGATTTGTGAGCGAGGGGTGACTGCAGCCATCCCCTGTGTCACTGCACTGTCACCCCAGGATGGGCCACAGAGAGCTGCTCCTGCCTGCTCTGCCCTTTTGAGCTGCACCTCAGTGTGGAAAGGATCTGAGCGAAATGGATGGAGCTGGTGAGAGGGCTGGCAGGACAGGAGTGGAGCCAGGACCACGGGAAGCTGCTTGTTGATTAAATAATTGTGAGTCATGGCTCAGCCTCTGGAGACAGAGTTTCCACGACTACTGCACATGCCTGTCAGGGGAGACAGAGGGAACAAAGCCACAGCCAGAGGCACCTCTGCGCTCTAATTGAGGAAGGAAACAAATTCCCCATGCAAGCACAGAGCTACAGCTCATGGGGCCATCTCTGCAGAACACCCTGTCAGGATGGGGCTCCCCACACCCCGTGGGTGCCTGTCCTGCCAGGGTGAGCACAGC